AGTGCGGATCCGCAGTTACGAACGGGGATTTTCTCGCCCGGGAGTACTGGAGCGGTGAACCCCCGCCCCCCGCCGCCCGCCTCCTCCGGGGTGAGAAAAGCTGTTCCCCGTCTCCCTGGTCTGCTGCGGGAGCTGATCTGGAAGCGGCCGCGGGTCCGGCCCCGGGTCCTCCGCCGCTTTGCTCCCCATCTCCCTGGTCTGCTGGCTCCCCCAGCAGACCAAGGAGACGGGGAGCAGCTTTTTTCGCCCCGGAGGAGGCGGGCGGTGGGACCAGGCGTCCCGCCGCTCCAGTTCTCCGGGGCGAGAAAAGCCCCGTTCGTGACTGCGGATCCGACATAAGTTGGATCTGCCTAACTTGGGGACTGCCTGTACTCACAACACCCTCTGATAGAAAGGCAGCAGCAGCACGGAGTAGCAGGGGATGTCCCGATAGCGAGGCTGGGAGCACACTGGCTGCTGGCCCACCCCCAGGGACTATCGAATAGTCGTATAACTGCTAAAATTTGATGCGGTTACACAACTATTCAATTACACGCTAACATCCCTACTGGCAAAGAGGAACAACTAATGATGAAAAAAGAAGAAAGGACCAGCCCCACAGAGGAAGATCCCACACTCAAAGCTCCCAACACAGGGCACAGAGGAGAGAAGTGATCCCGCAGACTTCCTGACTCCCCATTAAATACAGTAAAACGTGTACAGCAAACCGATCCTTCGGTCTCAAGGCCATGCCAGCTGTAATCCCAATTTGCTTTTCTTTCTGGTTTACCCACAGATTTTGTATCTATATAATGATGTTGATTGGGGTGTGATTAGTTTGCTAAATGTTTGTACAGCCCCTAGCATGGATGCAGTTTTATCAATATAAAAGTGCCTTATAAAGTACAACTTATTCTCCTTCCCATATAGGAGTACCAGTATAAAATTCCTTTATAATGGGTGCATGCAATTTGCCTTAGAGGGATTGTATTGCTTTAACTCTACCAACACAGTGGAAACACCTTGCGTTTGTAGACAACCCCTTAAGAAGGCCTTAGGCCACCTCCATTAAGCAAAAGTCTCTCAAATGGTCACTGACCTGTACATTGCATTTCACTGCATATTAAAGAAACGCTTTAAGGTTCCCTTCACACAGTGACACCATGGCAGCCTGATCCATATCCCGTGGCATAATAGGATATTGCTGCACCACATACAAGCACAGGGATCGCAATCTTTGTAACCTACTTGTGCAAGTATTCCGACTCCGACTGATTTAATTGGAACACCATATTTACATAAGGTTTACTCATATGAGTAAGGGCTGCAGGATCAAGGAATAATACCAGTAATATTCCTGATGCAGGCTGACTGAATTAAGGTTAGCTGCAGCCAGCCAACTACAAACATTTTGCCCTTACCTCTGCATACCAATTGCCAGCTTCTTTTCCTGCAGTCTCACCGTTCCTCCCACTGATACTTCACGTTTAACCAGTTAATCAGTTGGGGGGGGGGGGCATTCCAGAGCATATGCTCCCCCACCCCATTTTCATAGGCAGGGGCTGCTCTGGATGCCTGGAGCAGGCCCTGCCTGAGCCGCCCCCAGGCCCTCATGGACAGTGGCTGCTTCAGATACCCAGAGCAGCCCCTGTCTGTAGCAGGTCCCATGGGGCTGGAGCAGTCTCCCGACCATGATGGACAGGGAGCTGCTTCAGCCCCCATGGGTTAACCCGGAACAGATAAGCATCACCTGTTAAGGGTGATGCTTACTGGTTAACCAGTTAACCTTTCACATCCCTAATGCACACAACCCTGAGTCATCAATTCAGCAAAGTCCTTTAATCTTTTTTAAGCACAGTCTGAAAATGTAATCCACTATGGAAAAGTTTCCGCCTAGTGTGCATTTCAGAACAAATACAATTTGTTAATGTGGTAAGAGGGTGTGTTCTGCTCCGGGGTTGACACACTATTTTTTAAAAAACAACAAATAGTCTGGTAGCACTTTAATAGACTAACAAAACGTGTAGATGGCATCATGAGATTTTGTGGGCACAGCCCACTTCTAAGCTCATGATACCATCTACATGTTTTGTTGGTCTATAAAGTGCTACCAGACCATTTGTTGTTTTTTCTGTACAGACTAACTCGGCTACCCCCTGAAGACTCTACTTTTTGTTAACATTAGTGATTCATTTACTAATTCTGATACCCTGTGGGGGAAAAATGACTTGAAAAATTGGTGAAAACTCTGGAAAGTGACACCTCATGAGAGAACAGCATGAGACCAGCGAGATCATGTCTAGCACAAGTGCTTATCCAGGCTAACGCTAACTAACAAAAAACAGGTATAAATTTGTTCAATTTTTTTTAAACAGCTTTTCCTAAAGCCACTGAAGATTATCAAAGCTGCTCCTAAAATTCAGGCCAGATCTCTTATCACCAAGCCCTGAATTCTTTGTATGTTACAGGATGAATCAGTGTGCATGTGTATAGGTGGCTAATATTTTTCTATTTTGTATTTTGCTAAATGTGCCAAATAAGTTAACGCAAAATACGTGCTGCTAAAGCATTTACAATCTGTTGAGTCTTAGTGAGAACATTTGCTTTGTATTTACTGCCTGACAAATTCTAAAATGTAGCTTTCCCTAATACTCCATTTGTTTGTATATTTATTAAATCCCAATTTGATTGCTTTTATAAATGTACATTCCAGATGGATGCCTTAAATTCTCAAAGACTTACAGGTTTAACTTAGCCAAATGGGCAAAACTTCTGGAAAGAAAAGTTAAAAAAAAAAGTCATCACCTCTTAATAAAGAATAATTTAAATTATCCCTGAATTTTGTGAGATACCGAGTTGCTGTATTAACCAACTTTAATCAATGGCTAATAAGCAAATTAGTTTGAATTAGGGATGTTCGATAACTTTTATTTTAGTAATCATGTAGCTGCAAAAAAATGTATCAGTGACACGGTTACTTAAATACTCTCCAGGGACGGGCTGGCAGCCAGTCCACTCCTGGATCCAGTCCCACTCCTAGGGAGCCACCTGCCACATTGCACTGCAGTCTCTGACACAGGATGCAGCAGCATGGGGTGACAGGCAGAGCATCTGCAAGGAGAGCCTCTCCTCCCCCACGCTGCCTCTGTGGGAGGCAGCAAGGGAGGGGAGATGGCTCCATGGAGCCAGCACATGTGGCGAGCTGGCTTAAAAGCTAGCTCCCTACACATATTGGCTCCCGCCTGACCTCCCCTCACCCTCAACGCTGCTGCCTCTCTATCAGAGGCAGCTGCATGGGTGGGGGGAGGCAGGTGGTTCTGTGGGATCCGGTGCTCATGGGGAGTCAGCTTTTAATCTGGCTTCTCACTAGGGTTGCCAGATGGTTTCAACAAAAATACTGGACACACTTGACATTACATCACAATCTACATTACATCTTATTTAGAAAATACCGGACATTTATATTTTCTCAATTTGTTTCCCGAACAGAAAGCTCAAATATTAGATTGTCTGGTTCTAAACCGGAGACCTGGCAATCCTACTTCCCATGGGCATTAGTTCCCATCCCTCCCACACCCTCGTTTCTCCTACAGTTAGGATTA